GTTTCACACATTTTACTTTGAGAAGGCATTAAATACTACCTCACAGAATGCCCTAAGTTAAAGAAAAGCAGAACGATGGCATTTCCATCAAACTCCAAGATGTTCTTCAACAAATGACTAGGACCCAGAAATAATATCCCCCAACTACAGCTTTCATTCTAATATGCCCTTCTCTTTCCTTCTTTCAGTTTTATCTATCACCTGGCTCCAGTTCAGACAAAAATCTCTGGCCAGAAGCTTATCCTGTTCTGAGTAGCAAATTATGCATTTCTTAAAGCAAAGTGCTACACATGCAAAATAACTAAAGGCTTTTAGAATACAGTATGTGAAGTCAAACATTTCAGTCTATTACTCATCTCAGTTTACTTGCCTCACTTCTCCTTTGATAACTAGTGCAATATTCGAGTCTGCTTCTACTGTTCTATCAATGAACAGATGCAACTGCATTTTCAATTCACTGAATTCCTAAGAAATTTTATATATATATATATATATCCTATATATCCTGCTCCATCCTGGAAATTAGGAAAAAAAAGCTAGATATGCAGTAACCATACAGTATACCTCCAGTCTGGTTTTGTTTCATAGACTCAGATTTCTCTTTTGGATATTAGGAAGCTACCTTTGAGTGACAAAAGAATTGAATGAGACAAACAAGATATTTACACTGTCAAATTACACTTTTCATCAGAACAGTTCTAGCTTCCAGACTTATCACACATATTTCCTATCATATTTTCTTTCCCAAAAAAGACCATCTCCTCCTCAGAACAAAAAGTGTGCGGTATTTTTTCAAAACTCACCATGTATTTCTCTGTAGAATCTCTATGGGATATATTCCATAACTTTCCCTTGTCACACGATTTTTTTTCTTTCTTCCTCTGTAAAAGATCATCACTTCTTAACAAGTAAGTTTCACAGACCTAGAAAGACTTTATCCAAAGGACCCCCTAATCTCTAAGCAGCCCTACTTATCTAAACTACTCCCTGCAGGGAGATGCTGACCTTTTGTTCAGGACAGCAGACTCACCCCTCAAGAAAGAGAGCTTAGAAATATTTGGAATAGAAACCTTACCGATGTGGTCTTGTCCCTGGGCACAGTATGCTTTTTCTCCGAAATAAAATAGTTCCCATTATTTTTCAAAATGAAAATATTCTTCCTTTTTGGATGATTCAGAAGGGCTGGATTGATGCTTCCATGTTAAAAGAAGTTCCCAAATCTTCTAAACTGCTACTTATTCCTAGCCTACCCTTAAGGGCCTCCCAGCACAGGACTCAACTAATGAGTCCTGCGTGCTGC